AATAATTTTAAAAAAAATAACTTAAACTCTGCTTTGGTTTTATCATCAAACATGCACAATCAAAAATAAAAAAAAAAATTGTTTAAAAAAAGCGTAACTTTTACAAAAAAAAAATAACACACTGATTACTTTGCCGTATCAGTGACTACCAAAAACTGATCTAATAATCTGGAGAGACAATAAAGAATGCTGTGGTGTCTTGGGTTGGAGGGCATGGGAGAAAGAGAGGTGAGAAGAGGGGAGCTGTCAATTGTTTAAAAAAAAAATAAAAAATAAACTGCTGGAGAAAAAGATTACAATCAACATATAAACACACAGTCAGATACGCATACAAAACATGAACAAATTTCAAAGTTACAGAAACACTTCCAGTTTACAAATGGGTTCAGTCTTATGGATTTTGATGATTTGGGATAACTTCATAAATTCAGACTAGCTGCAGGGGAGATGGTGGGGGGTTAAAAATCTGCTGGTTGAAGGATAATCTTTGATAAACCAATTTGTTTTCAATTGGTCAGTCATGGTCATTATTTTGTCTTTATAGTTACCTTTCCTCAAAGACTGGTGGCATTGGGTCAAAAGGATTTCTTGTAAAATTCCAGATGTTTTATTTATTTTTATTTTTTATTATTGATAAGATTGAACTAAAATTATTTATGGCAATAAAAAAAAAATGCCATACCAAAACATGTAAAAGAGTACCCCTCACTATGACTAATATCATGAAAAATAGATTACACTCTTTCCCAGTTTTTTTTGAACAGGAGTAGAGGTTTATCCCTTGTTTCCTATTTAGGTTTGGGTTTCTGATTCCTTCTAAAGTCTTTTTCATTCACTTTCGCTCCCAGTAGCCCCTTGCATCTTAGTGGCATTATCACCTGGTTTGGGGTGAATTGATTAAAAAGAAAAAAGGTGTGAAATACTTTTTATTATTTTTAAGGTACAGCATTCTGAGAATGTGGACTTTGATGTTTTTACAAGACCAAATGAAATAGAATTTTCAAACAGAACTTGATAAGGAATTAAAAAAATAAATAACTCAATGTTGTCACCTAAATAAGTGCAAAATCTTGTTTTATTTGTAGGAAAGTCTACTTTATTTGAACCAGCAGAGTAATCATGTATTAAGTGTAAGAACCAGACAAATCAACTACTGAATATGAGAAAGCTGTTATGTATTCAAGAATTAAAAGCTATTCTCTTACTTTCTGATTGGCTATGACTTTAATCCTCTTTTGGCCAAAATTATATAAGTTTCTTTTTTCACCAAGTGATAATTTCAATTATTTTTCTTTTTTGACAGTGCAGTCTAAGAGACCCTTCTGTGCAAATTAGATATTGCCAATATCTGTTCTACTTCATTTCTCTAAAACAATAATTACACTTTTCCTAATTGAACTCATCAGCACCATCATGAGCAGCTAAGAAAAGTTACATTAATTTGTAAATATATTTATTCAAACTACTTATATTTGATTGTTATAGATGTTTCAGAAAACTACCCTCTGGTCATCTTCATGTGTCTGTTATGAGATATTATATATGTATTATTTTTCTCTTGTAATGTTATTCCATGCTGATCCAGAGATGGAACTCACAATCACTAGATGAAGACAAAACTTTATTAATTAATGCCTCTTTACACAATGACACTGTCCAAAAGGATATCAATGGCACAATTTTTGGGACTTATAAAATTCCTGTAAGATGATATCAACATTTGATGGCTTTGTACAGCTTTTATGATAAATTTGTTTAATTTCAGATAAGGAATTATATGCTTTGATTTATTGAGTTCAGTTCAACTATTGTTCTTATCTTTGTTGTTAGAGAAACAACAGTCTTCAACAGAAAAAAAACATTCTTACACACGTTCAACTTAAAAGAATTGCCATAAACCTGTGCATATTATATGCGGGTTTTTCACCCAAAATTATGTCAAAAAGTCTGCTGCATCTTTAGTTAAGAAATTCATCTCATTTTTTCCAAGACTCAAAACAGACAAAATTAGGTCAAATTGGATTTATTAGTTTACCAGAAAGATAATATCTAATGGCGTATTGCAACAAAGGGAGATAAATCTTTCATAATTAAAACCAAAACAAACAAGCAAGTTAATTATTCAATTTTATTTCAATTTATTTTCTCAGAGTAGATTGGTGATTTTAGTGAATTTTATATCCCAATAGTCATTATCATGTTTTCATAATGCTTACGAATTGTAAAAGTAAACAAAATGTCCTCCTTTTTTTTTTCTCTTCCTTTTACATAAGTTTTGGTCATTTTCTTTGCTCTAACATCAGCTGTTTTATACATGAAAATAACATTTTCCCCCGAGAATTTTTATTTTCTGTCTTATACTCCCTAGTAATCTCTACACAAAGGATTATGGTATTTAATAAAACACCACTCAAACTTGAGTAAGGCTGGGATATGCCCTTAGGAGTGACTGCTTGTCCAGATCAAAGAGCTCTCATGTTGGCCATCCTATCCAAGATGATGGCTTTCAGTATCAAGTTTGTGGTAATTTGTAGTCACTGTTTGGTCTCTTTCTGAATGACATCCCTGGATCAATCAGATGTAAAAATTACTTGATTTTTAGGTAGGGCTAGAAAAATAAGACAAGTGGCTTATTACTTACTGATGTTACTTTCACAAAGTTGATTTGGAATGCATTTTAATAGCCTATGAATTTTACCTAAAAACTGTAAAGAGCTTTGATTGTTCAAAAGAAGTTGTTGGAAAATCTTTGTATCACCCACACAAAGATTTTCCAATAATTTCTTTTAAACAACTCTTATCACACATTTTTAAAATATTTGCTTCCCTTTTTTTCTTTTTTTTTTTCTTAAGATTAAATCATAGTTTTATTTAACAATCTCAGTGAATCGACTTTAAACACAGAATTTAGTTGGGATTTTGAAAATCCAAGATTTTTTTTTTGATTTTTTTTAAATCATTAACTCCCAGAAGTTTGTTTATTTTTGCATTAATAAAGATGCTCTCCAAATTTTAACAAAAATAATCCCATCCCACATCTGGGGCATAAGAACAGATTTGTAATACAACGTAGACCCTTATTTGGTATAAGCAATTCGTAATAATCTGGAAACATTACAAAGCCTGTCCAATTTTTTTTTTTTTTTTTTAGAGTTGGGGGGGTGAATGAATAGGATGTGGTAAAATTAAACACTTGTAACCCAGGAAGCGTCTATATATTTATAAAAGTTTAGCTTTTTATGTGTATTTATATCTGTAACTTTATTTTCACCTAAAAACATTAGTAAAGATAAGTACATGTATAGTAAACTTATATGCTTCAAACTTTATTAAAAAAAATGGGCACATAAGTTAAACTTATAAAAACATAAGCAAAAAAAATGTAAACAAAACTATTATAAATTAAATTTATAAATTTAAAAATTATTTACAGTTTATTTAAGGACAAGAAAGAATATTGGTTAGAATGATTCTTTAAAAATCTCTAACCCTGCCTGCATTTATCTACAAATGGTTTTTCTCTTATAAATAAGGCAATATGGTTTCTGAGGATCAATGATAAATTTAAGAGAGAATTGGATTTTATTTATTAAAGTTAAATTGGCAACAAGGCTACAAAAATGGATTTGATTATACATCAGTTATGTACAGATATCAAAATTGTTTTGTCTTTTTTTATGGATGGATCATTAAATAAAATATGAAAAGAATAGAATTTAAAATCATTATTTCTTTTAAATCTTAATATTATTTTACTGTGTCCATTACAAATTAAAATTCAATGTGACAAATGTCATACAAGCAAAAGAATCAAAACATGTCAAAAAAAGGCATCATGGGTAATGTATAAAATGAGGAGGAGAGGGAATAACATAAGAGTAGGAGAAGCGGGGGAAAGATGTATTCAAATGTCCATCAATGTTGACTCACAGCATCCTTATTATTTCTCCAATGATGTCCTGAACATGTCAGCCAACCAGCGCTACAGCTCTGTACAGACAGAATCATAATTGCACAGAATTCTTGGGGGGGATAATAGTTAAGTGGTGATAGGAAAGGGCTACTTACTTGCATGTATACTCACTACATTTGAACAAGAATGGGGACATACAGTCATGGTTACAAACACACATTTTTGGAATAGAGGCTCTTTCCATCCCTACCCCACAAAAAAAAAATATATATATATATATATATATATATATATATATATATAAAAAAAATGAAAAATTCTGGGCAGGGGTGGGGGGAATATTTTTTTTAAACATTATTTACACTTACGTTGGTGTCCTCATCTTTGTTGTTATCTCAATGTTTTCACCCTTTGTGCCCACCAGGTGCTTTCAATCCACATAACCTTTAGGAAATTTAAAACTGAACCCTTTATTTAATTGGCAAGTTTAAATTCTTCTCTTTCCACTATCTGTGTCTAGAGATATTTTATCTTGTTCTTATTTAGTACTGCTTAGTTATTGCTTATCCTAACTCTGCAATAACCAGTCCAGGGATTGAACTCAAAATTACTGTCATCAAATTTACGAACCAATACTTTAGTCCACTAGGATACTAAGCACAAAAGTCCAGGTGTCAATGATGTAGATAATAATAACTCCTCACCTCAAAAATTTGGAGAGAATTCTTTTTTACTTCAGAATATCTGGTAAATTTAAAGTAGGGAATAAAGGGTGAGAATTTTGATGGATTTTACAAGCATTAATTAGATGAGAACTTAAAAACAATCTATAAGATAACTAATGAGTTAAACCTGAAATACAAGTTCAGGCACTATTTTTGTCTGAAGAATAGGGTGTTGCCTACGACAATTCACCTCGCTCCACGTCGAATGCTGCCTACGACAATTCACCACGCTCCACGTCGAATGCTGCCTACGACAATTCACCTCTCTACAACCCCAACATAATTCACACATATGCAAAAGTTTGATAAAACATGATTTTATCAGGATTATGATGATGATTGTTACTCACTTCCATTCACAAAGACCAGTTCTCATACAATCACAGAAGTTAAGCAAGATCAAGCCTAGTCAGTACCTAGATAGGTGACCACTTGGAAATCCCAGGTGGTGTAATGGATAATGGCTCAAAACTGGAAATCAGAGTCAAGTTCCAATTCCAGTTGGGTTTGTTATATTCACTCACACACAAATACTTTTTGGGAAAGGTATGAATCCACCTCTTCTCCTCCTCCCAGATATGAGTAAGACTTGTATCAGTAAATCATTGTAAGAATTTTTTTGAAGATAATAATCTAAAAATATTTTCTGGCTTTAAATGACCTGCAAAAAGTTGTCAATCCTGTCACAAAGTATTCAGGATTATTTATGTAACGGCCTTTGTGCAGATTAATGAAATTATTTATACTCAGCATGTTTTTGTTGCTTTCCAAGAGGCTGCCAAGATTAACTATTATCACCTTCATCCTAGCTCAGATAAAATACACTACACTTAAAAAAAAAAAAATTAATAAAATAAACTACTCAACAATAAAAAAAAGAATAAAAAAGAAAAACTGAAAATATGAACAATGGAGGAATCCATGCTAAAAGTCACTAAAAAAAATCTCAAGTGCTATCAATGTAATATCAAGATAGCTTTTTATAGTAAAGTTGTACAAGGCAACCTTCTCACAAAGAATGGTCTTTTCACAGAAGAAATATCTGATCAGGAACTGAATATAATAAAATTTATGATCAAGAATAACAACAGAAATAAGATGAAAGAAATACTAATAAAAAAACAATACACATTAACTTATTTTCTTGTACTTTTTTATGGAATATCTTAAAAGATGTTTTTTCAATTATTGGTAAGCCTTCACCAAGAATTCTACTGGTTTTGAGCTTTGTCCATGAAGATAGTCAACAAACAAAAACTCTAAAGAAACTTTCATTTGACAAAAATGAAAGATGTATTGTTTTTACTTTTAAACAATGTTAATGTCAATCATCTTCAGAAGATGATCAGTCAGTTATGTACCATGCATGACACATGTGTAGACGACCATGTATCTTTTGATACAAGACTGGCAAGACAGATTTTTTTCCCACAGTAGGTTGCCATTTCTTTCTGTGTTAGACCAGTTGCCATCCAAGGCTATAGAACCCAGTCTGTCCTGCTATTTACTCATAGCTGAGTGCAGGGAGAGAGAAGACGAAGATTCATACCTTTCCCAAGGGTATCAGCACATAAGTGAATGTAATGGATTCAGCTGGAGAAAATGATACAAACATTGATATTTGAGCAAAATTTGCTTCATCTCTTGCTGCTTATTTGGATAATAATTACTGACAAATGTACTGTTATAGAATTACTTTAAACATTTGGCAAGTTGAATTATAAAGTAATACACAAAATATAAAACACATTTTTGGCATGACCAGTGTTTACCTATAGTATAGTGGGTTATCAGTTCTAGTGAAGTGTATGAATGTTGAAACAGATTAATTTAATTTGGCCTTGTTAGTTAGATAGCCCACCATAAGAGGGGTATAAAACAATAAAATCAAATTGTAACGTGAAACGACAAATTTATATACATATAAATCAATTAGGTCTTTACAAATAAAATTAATGTATTTTGGTTGATACAAGGTCATCAAAATGTTCGTAGTAGTCCTTGCAAGAATGAGTTTATGTGTACGTAGGTAGGAACGTACGTATGTATGAGCATTATTGTAGGGTAGGAATGATTTTGAAGTAATCGCTCAGTCTTAAAATGTTTCGTTCATTTATCAAGTATAAAAGAGGTGAGGGAGAAAGGTAGAGATAATAATAATGATTGCTTGACATTTGTCAAGGGACGTGTTAATACGCTCGTCTCCTTCTCTCTGGTGATAAACGAACTTGCCCATCTTTTATTTTGTTTGTGGGGCTTGAAAAGGTCATTTGGGAATTCACTCCTGGATATGATTCAGGCCTTTCCATTGGACAATGAACAAACTTCGCGTCAACTTGCGAAGAGGTCCATAAAAGAATTTGTTTCTGAGAAGTGAAGATTATTTGAATTTTGTTTTTAAATGTTTCTTAGTTTTCTATTGGCCAAAAAACATTTCGCATCAAGGTGTGAACTTTCACAATTTTTGTTTTGGAGTTGCTTTTGCATGTGTGTTAAGCAAAGTTTGTAAATTCGAGTCTTTTTATTTTCTAACAAAATCAATGAGGCAGTGCTTAGCATTTGAATTTTAAATCTAGATCTTGTTTTGTTCACTATAATAGACTTGAGTATAATAAAAAAAAAAATAAATTTTGACATGTAATAAGTGAACAATGATTGATATATCATAAAATTCACCAAATGAAGGTGTGATAATTTTAGAATTTTCAGAAACCTATAATTAATACTGGATTTTCCAGTAAATTGTTACTAAGCTCTAAGTTTAAGTTTACAAATATATATTTCCTGGCCTCAAAGATGGTTGCCTGATTTGACAAGCAATATTTTTGTAGGAAAATTCATGTGTATGAATGGAGAAGTGAGTGTAATAATAGTTTTATTGGTTCCATCAAATTCTATTCCAATATCCAAGAGATAAATTACTTCTGAACTTTCTGTCAAATGGTAATATTAGCCATTTCTTTATTAGGAGACATTCAGAATTCACTGACAGAGCAGCTGGTGGTACTTTCATTTAAAATTTATCTCTTAAAGTTTTTCAGGAAAATAGGCTTCCCAAGTTCAATAATTGTTATCTCTTTTTCCAATACTGGTGGGGGTTTCCTTCTTAAACTTTTGTTTGATGTTGTATAGAATGTCATCTTTATTGCATCATTATTTTCCCTTCTATTTATATTTGCTATCCATTTTAGTTGTTGCTGCTGTTGAAAGTTCTCAAGTGATGGGGTTTCAGTTATTTGGTACAGTTCTTTGTGATTTTGTAGTGCCAATCCACATGGTTAAAATAAATGTTCCTTGCTAAAGCCATTTTTAACACTTTGAGCCCTGCGTTCCTGGACAATTTTAACTCTTCTGCCTGAGGTCCCGAGTCAAAATTCGCAGATAAATAGAATGTAATGTTTCACGGTAGATATAAAAATAGTTACAAGTGTTTACCCACTGTTCAACCAGTAGCTGGGCATTATATAATTTTTCTCTACCACTGGTAAAGTGATGGTCAGTGCTTAAAGAGTTAATTATTGATCTTAGAAAGCATTTGTATACAGCTGACAGTTTAGATATTTCTGAATGAGTTTGGCATCATGCATGACATCCATGTGAAACTCTCGATCTGACGAGGCTATTTAAGAACATGTCAAGTTTTTTAGGTTAATGTTTTAGTTTTGTAGCAACTTGTGGTATTGAGTGAAACTACCCCAAGCACAGAATATTCTATATTCAAAACATCTAAACAGTGACAAACTGAGCCAAGACAGAACATCAGATGGCATTGTTCAAATTATGGCCATTGATGTTCTGTTAAATACTTCATATCCTAATTTGAAACCCATTTTAATATTTAAATTTTTACTTAATACTGACAGGAAACTGTTAAAAGAACAAAATGTGATGTCGATTTACACCTACAAGTTAAAACATTCAGAGGAGACAAGTAGGCAAGATACTAGTTGTAAATTGACTGACAACACTACTAAACTTCTGATGACTTTATTTACATTATTTGGACTATTGTCCTCATCTTTGTCGCCATATTTATTACAACATTTCGGCTGTTGTACGCTCCGGCCTTCTTCAGGTGGTTGGCATATCGAACTGAACCCTTTATTTTTCACTCACTGGGGTAGACTGTTCTAGTTCCATGTGTTATGGATGTCAGTTATCAGTAATCTCCTGTTGATTCCCCTGTCCAAGTTCTCCACTACCTTAACTGGGTATTGAACACTAGATCTAACCAACACCTTTATCTACTGTGCCATGTGTCCTTTAGGAAACAACAGTCTACCCCAGTGAGTGAAATAAAGGGTTCAGTTTGACATTCCGACCACCTGAAGAAGGCCAGAGTGTACAATAACCGAAATGTTGTAATAAATATGGCGACAAAGATGAGGACAATAGTCCAAATAATGTACATAATACCTCATCTCAGAAATATAGACAGATTCTGATGACTTGTCATAGTATTATTATTTGATTTATTATACTAAAGATTTTGAGATAATTACGAGTCCTACCAAGATTCATTATTGGTAACCAGTTTTAACAGCATAAGACATACAGATGACACAATGTCAAAAGCAGATACAGAAATGTAACTACAAGAACTCCTACAGAAGGTAGTGAAGGAAAGCAAGAAGAAAGGACTAATGCATGGTTGTTAGCAGAAAGAACAGCCCAACATGCAACATACAAATCAGAGATACTAAAATCAAACAAGTACAAAAATTTAAATATCTGGGAAGTGTTTTAACAGAGAATGGAAAAGTGTGATGCTTCTAAAGGCACATTAGGATAGTCAAAGATGCCTTCCAAAAGCTAAGCAAAGTATTAAGAAACAGAAAAACCACATTAGAAACAAAGTACTGAATTGTTAATGTCAACAATCAGTATAACAGTTCTTAAAGTTAGTGTTATGGAAACAAGAAGGACCCTTAATATCAGGAAGAGAGCTAAAATTTTTAGGGTAGATGATGCAGAAAGAGGGCTTAGAAAATTTGATACTCACAAGACAGATTGAAGGAAAGAGAAAGGAAAACAATGTATAACCTACCTAGAGAGCTTGAGTAAATGGATGGTGGAGCAAGATTTAGAAGAGTTAAAAAGACAAAATTTATTAAGAGCTACAAAAGACAGGAAATTGTGGAGAGCCATGACTGCCAACATCCTGAAGTGACACAGTACATAGATGATTTGAGGTTATATACAGGAGCTTGAATTGTCTAGTATCAAAGGCCTTTCTCTATAATTAGGTATAGGACTTTGCAGAGTTAGTTTGCAGGTTTTTGGGTTTCCTTCAACTCTGGGAAATCTAACAACTGAAGAAAAATTAGCTTTTATTAATATATATATATATATATATATATATATATATATATATATATATATATATATATATATATATAGTAAATGTATGGGCGCATAGCTGAGTGGTTAGAACATTCACTTTCTGACCATGAG